TGTAACTTATTTCCTTAATTAATGGATTAACTGCTGACTAATTAACAACTCAACAAATTTACAGGATCTTGAGTATCATCTCTAACAAATATTCCTAAAATAACGAAATCATAAACCTAATTAATTATGTTATTATACTCTTCATCTTCTTCATCGGCTTGAATCATTAATGGCGAGATACATGTATCCAACAGTTTTTAAAGTTGAGATACACGATTTATTAATTTGAATTAACATCTTCATCTTCTTCATCAACTTAAATCATTAATGACGAGATACATGTATTCAACCCGAGATATACGATTTATTAATTTGGATTAACCTCTTCATCTCTTCTTCATCAGCTTGAATCATTAATGACGAGATACACGATTTATTAATTTGGATTAACCTCTTCATCTTCTTCATTGACTTTAATCATTAACGGCGAGATACATGTATCCATCAATTTTTAAAAGTGAGGTACACGATTTATTAATTTGAATTAACCTTTAACAAGAATCATCTGATTTTGTAAACAGTCAACCATTAAAATAGTTGAGAAACAACAAAAACAAATAATGTAAAAACCTGCACATGGCTTCATCGGCGTCCAACGACTCGTCGGAGTAAGAAGGAAGTATTTAATGTAAATTGAACTGAAACAAGTAATTGGAAGAATTGCAGAGAAGAAGAAATGCCTAAAAAGTAGACAACAAAGAAGAAGTACAGAAAATTCTTGTTTAGAAGGGTGGTTGCCTTTTTTGCCTTCTAAAATGTTATACCAAAAATATAATCACACTCTAAGCAAGAAGATAGTGCACAACATTACATTCATAATGCGGTTATATGAAAACGCAAAGTTTGTCATTTCCGGAGTTCTTTTTCGGATTGAGGGTGGAATCCGGTAAGGGCTGGGGTGGGGGTGGGGGGAGAGATATTGTTGGGGGAGGAGATTGAAGGAGGTTGAATTTTTAAAGCACCTTTAATTAAGGGATTTAAATTTTTGGATAATTATTCAATACCATATTTGTAACGACTCGGAAAAAATGATAGGTTAAGCAAGAGCCTACGACTTTGTGTTGACTTTATAATGAGGTTCTATGAGGGGTTTTTATGTAATTTCGTTTTAATTGTGTAACATCCGACAATTTAAAATGAATATGAAGAAGCTTGAAATTGGAAGTAGTCATTTTTGGAAAAAAATTCAGAATCTGGAAATTCGGTCAAGTGTGAAAATCAGTGAGTTTTTGGCCAACTTTGAGCAGTCATAACTCCTAGCTCAGAATGATCCAAGAGTAGTTCCAGTTATGTTTGGAAAGCCCTTGGAACGATCTTTCCAACGCCACCGAGTTTTCTCGATTCCGAGTTCGTATGAGCGAGTTATGCCCTTTGAAAGTTGGGAAGTTGGCAAGGAGTCCGTCCGGAAATTTAAGGGCATTTTGGTCTTTTCACAAATCTTTTCTTTTGAGGTTATATAGTTGTGTTAGGCTGATTGTGGATCATTTTTGTTCCATTTTTAAAAGAGTAAGAGTTAGGGTTCTTGAGTGAAGAGAGAAAGAAGAGAAGAAGAAGAAGAAGTTGGAGCTAGGATTGAAGATTTCGAGTGCTTCTTCTTCAATTTTCGTGGGTTTTCAACTCAGAAGGTATGGGGATCCTTTATCCTTGATTATTCTTTCTTTCAAGGAGCCCAATCAAAAGATTTTCAAGGTTTTTCAAATACACAAAAATCCTATTTCGAATTCTAAGCATGGGTTCTTGCATTAAATAATTTTAAATGATGTTTCATGTTGTTATTAATGATTATTTATGGTTTTAAGAAAGAAATATTTGTGAACCCATGTCTTCTCAAATTCTTTAAATTTAGCCTAAAGTGAGTTTAATGATTTTGAGTAATTGATGAAGGATTATTGAGTGGTTTGATGTGGGCTGTTCTTATATGATCTTAGCTATGTTGAGTTGCTAGAAATTGTTATTGAATGGTATAATGTGAGGTAGTAGCCTTGAATGGTCATAAATTGGGATTTAGACTTTATGTTGGTTATTGGATATTGTTTAGCTTAGCTTGTATAGTTGATTGTTGTTATTATCATTGTTATTGTATTGTTAATTGTTGGAAAATGAGGATGATGAAGATAGCCATGGAAAGAGGGTAAGTTGATCAAACTTGATAAATATTGTATAATTGGCATGGAATTGAGTATTGTGGCTTATGGCCTTTGAAAAAGGTGGTAAGATGGCTTGATCTCTTAGTATTAATATAATTGTTATTGATTGGCTTGATCCACCTTTGGTGGAGGTGGTTATTTGTTGTATTATTGTGAATTGAGGCCATGAAGGGCATTATGTGAATGTTATTATATTGTTGTATTATTATACACATATGAGGCTATATGTAAGTCCTATATGAAGCTATATGTAAAGTTTTATGTGAAGCTATATGTGAAGGTATGATGTGAATGAGTTTTATGTGAAGCTATATGTGAAGGTATGATGTGAATGAGTTTTATGTAAGCTATATGTGAAGGTATGATGTGAATGAGTTTTATGTGAAGCTATATGTGAAGGTATGATGTGAATGAGTTTATGTGATCTTGTGATGATCTTATGTAAAGTGGAGAGGATTGTGATTTAAAGTATGATTTCTCATGATGTATATATGAGATAATGTTGGATTATGAAGTATCCTTGAATGAAAATGTTGTGACTTGGTTGGTAGACTAAAGTGTCCCTCCTTGTTACTTAAAGTCTTGAATGCATGAATGTGTGAAATGGGCAGAACTAAGAAATGGTGTCCTTTCATAAGTCTAGCTTTCCTAAGTAAGTGTAAAACCATGAAATCGGTAGACCTAATGGTGGTAGCCCTTCTCATGTGTGAAATGATGAACCTTGGACCGGCAGGCTTAAGGCACCCTTAATGAAAAATCGGTAGGCCTAAGGCACTCTTCCAGGGGGATTTAATGAGCTATCCTTATGAACCTTGATTGGCTATGACTAAGAAATGGGGCCTTTCTTGGGAAGAGGTACTATGAGTTGGTTGAACTAGAAAAGGAACATTCTCTAAGTACATATGTGATTGAATACTCTATGGGAAACAAGGCTAGCACCGAGTGGATGTGGTTAGGAAGGTGGCCTAGTTGAGTATGAGATTAGGCACAATAAACTTCCTTGGACATCCCCTAAACCATGTGCCTACATGGGTTGCTTACTAGTTCTACCTTTGGCAAGTAGAACAACCTCTACGGAGTAGGATAGACTTCGGATTCCATACCTAGCTAGTATGGTCTATGTCGGTTATGCCTATTCCCATCATGTGGGATGCGCACTCTAGTTATTGGATAGGTTCTACAACGTGTAGGTAGTAGTATGAGATGTTATCTACACATGGCACGAGTAGGCTTTGAAGATACTAAAGTGAGTTCCCTAAGTCTAACGACTATTATGTGAAAGTCCCCTTATGTGCTTGAATGTCTCCAAAAATGGTTTCTTAAAGAATGTTGGTCTATTGATGCTATGTTGTAAAGGAAATGTCCTTATCTAAGGTAATCTTGAGGAACACTTAAGTGTGCTTGAAGAGGTTGTATGGGCGGTCACTTCTTGTCTTACTCAAGTGTGTCTTAAGGTTATATTAGGTAGAGGTCCTATGGTAATGAAATGTCATGTGTTCTTTTAATGTTAAATATGGGTTGTACATGGATATATGTTGAGTATGTGTATGGTTGGCTATGGTCTTATATGTTAACGTTGACTTGCATTATGTCTCTTATACTTGTAAAGGAAAGGTTTTATCAAATTGATATGAAAGCATTTATTCTTTGAAAATGTCCTTTTTTTTTAGCATGTTTGTGCATGGTCTCCATACTTAGTACTTAATTGTGCTAACCCCTTTCTTTCCCTTTTTAACTAAAGTGTAGGGATTTGGAGATGGTGACATGTCATGGTTACTTGATAGGCTTCTAAGCGTTGGAGATGAAGACTTGGTGAGTCCTCATAGATTCGAGGACAATACCCTACATGTTCCTTTTGATGTATTTCTAGTATTGTTTAAGTTGTGTATGAGATTAGTCCCGAATTTTGTTCTCTAAAGTATTAGATGGTTTTGAGACATCATGTATAAAGTCTAGAAAGTCTTCCGCTTGCTATTATTTTTTTTATTATGAAATGTTTTCTTGGTAAAGAAAATTTTATATTCCTTATGGTTTTAGTGTCTATGCGATGAATGAATGCTAAGAGGCTTGTATTAGACCTCTTCGAGGTCGAGTACGCCGGTTACGACTAGGGGTGCTCTCGGGTCGTGACAATATTTAAGGGATTTGTTTATCTGATTTAATTTTTTAAAATATATGTTATAATTATTAAAAAGTGGTATTATGAGTAATATTTTTAAACTATAGATAACATATGTATATATAGTAGTTAAGTATGTCTATTTATGTAGTTTATCCTTTAATTTTTCACATTACATGTTTGAATTTTGAAACCACTAAATTAAAGAGAATTTTGGTACGTTCTACATATCTTTAATTTAAGACTATAAAATTGAAAAACCCTTATATCAAGTCAAATCAGACAAACAAATTGAATATCGATTTGTAAAAACTTACTTATATCAAATCAATACAAATTATAATGGTTAACTAGTAGTTTAAAAAGTAAAAAGTACATGTTAATTAATCATTGATTACACAAAAAAAAAGAGTCTATATTTACATACATATTAAAACATGCATATTAATTATATTGACTTGATATAAACACCTAATGCACTTAAGTTTTTACGATATCGGTTGAACTTAGAGCAATGGTGAGATTGAATTATTTGCTCAAGTCTAATATACAATATTGCCAATGTAGGAAATTCCCAAATTCTTTTTTAATTACTTTCTTGGAACCTTCCTTTCATAACTATTATAGTACTCTACTATATAGTAGTGATGCAAAAATAGAAATGACCTTGAATATTGTCAAGTATATTACATTATAAATCCCCTTGTTGTTTTTGTCAGTTTAATTAATTAACAGAATTAGACGGGGGAGCTGATCATGAGATCTTATAATGTTTCTATTTTTGCATCACTACTATATAGTATTATATTTTCCTTCTTGTTTTTTGTAAATGTGAACAGTACTTTTGATTCCTTCCTTCAGTTTCCTACATTGAAAGATTCAAGAGGCAAATCAATATCCCTTCTTTACGTGAATGAATTTGGAGCCAAAGGAGATGGCATCACCGATGACACTAAGGTAATTCCTTTTTCGGGTCAAATCATTAATCTTTGCGTTTACGTAATATTTATACTGTCAGATCATTCAAAGATAACTGCAAGTATGGCAGATCATTCAAAAGATAATTGCAAGTAACTCTATTTAATATTCTAATTGTACAATGTAACTATGTAAGTGTATATTATGCTTACTATCCTCATACACTGATTCGCACACAATAGTCGTATTCTAGTTGGGCATTGGTGCAATAGTACCTATCGATAAATTTCTAACTTTAGGTCTTTTTTTAAGAAAAGATACTGATCCAATTCATGTGAAACAACACGACTTGGATAAGAGGAAGTTGCTTAGATAGACGATAGTAAACACCCCTTACTTTCAACTCTAAAGTTGTAAGTTTGAGTTACCAAAGGAGCAAAAACGGATGGACACTCTTAGGGATGAGTAAAAATGAATAAATTAACATGATATGTGTATCTAAGAGAATTTAGTATTTTGGTTAGAGTAGGGGTAGCGTTGTGCTCTACCATAGTCATGAGTCTATTTATAGTTGCGACTGTTCATTAATGCTGGTACTTACCATTTATGTATGTATTTTACAGATTTTTCAAGATGTTTGGAAAAGGGCTTGTTCTTCATTCTTACGACCAAAAATTATAGTCCCAATTGGATATTCATTCTTAGTTCGACCAATTGATTTTGTTGGGCCTTGCAGATCAAAAGTTTCTCTAATAGTAAGTATTTATTTATAATACTAAAGTCTTAAACAATACTAAAGTTTTGCAACATAGATATATAATATTTTTTGCAATTAAAATTACAGATTGAAGGTTCAATAGTAGCACCAAAAGATCCAAAAGTATGGGATAAATTGGATGCACGTAAATGGCTTTATTTTGTTAAAGTGAGACATCTCACTGTACAAGGAGGAGGAACAATAAATGGAATGGGCCAAAAATGGTGGGCTACTTCATGCAAGATCAATACAACCAATGTAATTTCAAGTTATTATTTTGGAGTTTTTCTTGACGATTTTTGACGATGACTATTTTTCAATTATAGAATTAAAAAACGGCTATTTACAAATATATTTTCCCCTTTATGATTTATATATGGTATTCCTTCACAAACATGAAAGTCTAATGTGATACAATCTTCTATTTTTGCAGCCTTGTGGACATGCTCCAACCGTAGGTGCTATTTTCTCCATTCTCATATGTTTTTAAGAGTTTAACTTCTATAAAATTGACAGTATATTACGTACACTTAATGAAAATACAGGCTATGAGTTTTCACAGATGCAACAATTTAAAAGTGAGGGACATAAGGATGCTAAATAGTCAACAAATGCATATATCAATTTCGAATTGCATAAATGTTGAAGTATCACGTATGATAGTAGAAGCACCAGCTAAGAGTCCTAACACTGATGGAATCCATATAACTTCATCTACACATGTTGCTATAAAGGATTGCACTATTCGGACAGGTATGTAAAATTAAATTAAATGACCACCTCTATCAAAGAGAGATATTTTACTCGTATGCATGATTTAAATTTAAACGGTTCAAAATTCAATTGATTAGAGTACTATTTATTAATAATGTCACAAAATGATATACAATTTGCCAGGAGATGATTGTATATCTATAGTCAACAATTCTTCAAGTATTCTGGTAAAAAATATTGCTTGTGGCCCAGGCCATGGTATAAGGTACAACATTTAACTATTTGTTTTGTTTATAATTAAGATAACATTCATGTACTGTAAAAAAATAAAAATTGGTTTGATGGCTGATGTATTATTGTAGCATTGGAAGCTTGGGAAAGTCAAATTCATGGTCTCAAGTGCACAATGTTTGTGTTGATGGAGCATATTTTTCCAATACAGAAAATGGTGTCAGGATTAAGACTTGGCAGGTAGATAATCCTATAGTACTCCTTTTGTCCTAATTTATATGACACTTTTCGCTTTTCGATAATTAAACTAACTTATCTTTCGAATCTTAAATTTAATTTTAGATCAACTCAATAAATACTTCAAAATTAAAATTTGGATATTGAAAAACTATATGAAAAATACGTATCTCATGATTTCAATATAAAAAAAAAGAAGATATTGATCAAAATTCACATAGTTTGAATCTCAAAAAACGAAAAGTGTCACATAAATTGGACCGTATTACTCTGTTGATTCTCTTACAAATGAATCTGATTATCATTAATATTGTCATTTAATTTTAGCTAATGCTTTGAATATTGGCAGGGAGGTAGAGGGTTTGTGAGAAGGATTAGTTTTATGAATGTGTGGATGGAAAATGTATCAAATCCCATCATAATAGATCAATATTATTGTGATTCTTCATTCCCCTGCCCAAATCAGGTACGTGTTGAATACTTCAAAAGTAGTGCATTTTTGAAGGACCTGACACGGATACGACAACATATTTGTAACTATGTGAATATTTGATATGTAGACTTCGGGTATTAGCGTTCACAGCGTATCCTTCGTTGGAATTAGAGGAACTTCAGCAACAAAAAATGCAATTAAATTTGCCTGCAGTGATAGCTCACCATGTAAAAAGCTATTTTTGAAAGATGTGCAACTTGTTTCATATTTAGGGTTCCCTACGACATCGTTTTGCTGGAAGGCATATGGATCAACCTCAGGACTAAACAACCCCCCTTCTTGCTTCAACTTTATGGAACAACCCACAAAAAAATTGTCCAATTTGAGTTATCAGTCCATTTGAAATTTTGATAATAATATTATTTTAATCTCATTAATTTGTGAAAACTAGCAACTATTAAATTCAAATGTGTTAGTTATATATTTGTTATTATAGGCAAAACATGTATTAAGTGCGCATGCAAATATTTTGTAGTACTTGAAGGTTATGAATAATCTATCCTTGAAAGGATCTTGTAATTGTGGCCCAAAAATCTATTGCACAAGTAATTTCGAGGGTGATTTTGATTTTTGATCTTAACAATTCTTTTTTAAAAAGATTTGGTTTCAGAAACTTAGCTAGGCAAAACTTTTGTTGTCCATCAAACTTAAGGTGTGGATATAAATTAATTATATCTATAAAACAGAAATTCAGATTATTTCAATCACAAGTCATACCTTATATTAGTGAAAAAGATAAAACCTATGGTTGATGGACATTTAAAAATCTTCCTAGCGATAGTCATTTTTAAAAATTCGGTTATTTGGGGATCAGATAATTTTTTTAATCTTCCTAGCGATAGTCATTTTTAAAAATTCGGTTATTTGGGGATCAGATAATTTTTTTAAGATAGGACACTTTTAGAGACACCACCTGTCATTTTCGGCTTAAATTCCAATTTTCAATTGTCCAAATTTATCCTTGAATTTTCGGTTAACAATAATGAGTCGTTTGGTGTAAGGTATAAGGTATAATCACAAGATCAAATGTAAAATTATTTTCTCTTGTGTTTGATCAGAGGTATTAGGCCGTTCTAAGATTTTTTCCTCATTATTTATATCACAATGAACTAATGATGAAATTAGTTATCCCGTATATATAATGGAATAACTTCTCACATAATAGTTAATCTCGGACTAACTTATTTCCGACCTAAGGACTATTCTTATTAAATGGTATATACGAAGGACCAAAGTAACTCAACCTCTATACATTTTGATAATTTCCTCATCAAATTTTGTTCTCCAAGTCGGTAGAAACAAAAAGCCCTAGCTCAAAAGTTACAGTTAATTATCCCGCCGTTTCGTTTTCAGCGCGATCAGCCCCTCCATTGCTCAGTTGACGAAATAATTTTGAGTTGCAGAGAGTTAAAAGGGTTGAATATGGAAGAGTTAGCAGAAGGAGTGAGCAATTTGAACCTGGTTGATTCTCAGAAGAAGAATCGGATTCAAGTATCTAATACTAAGAAACCTCTGTTCTTCTACGTTAATCTATCCAAGGTACAAAAATCATAATCAAATTATTCTGTATGGGTTAATTTGTTAGATTTTTTCTATAATTGGATTTGATGTTTGAATATATGTTGTAGAGGTATATGCAACAGTATAATGAAGTGGAGCTTTCGGCTTTGGGAATGGGTATTTCATCTCAATTCTATGTTTCTTTTGTTATTCATATCATAGTTTTACATGTTTGAACTTGTTTCTCTCCCCCAGGCCTTGTGTGATTACACTTATTATGTTGTTGTTATACTGTTTATCAGGTTGCACTCTTAGTTCGTTCTGATTTCTACTTCTCCTCTCGTTTTATGTGTTTGATTGGGTACTGTCTATATTAGTGGTGGTAGATAATTATTATTGTTGTTTTTGAAAAGTTAGCTTGATAGAGTATAGAAAATTTTGTGTGTTCTTTTTTTTTTTTTTTGTGGCTCAGAAGGGTGGGGATTAGTAGTCAATGAATTGCGTTGAGAATTGATAAAAACATTAGTTGATTTCTTCCATTTATCTTGGACGAAATTAGCTTCTCACTAGTCATTTTTCCCTTCTCATCCAGCTTGAGATTGGTCTTACATCAGGGTTATAGGCTTTAAGAAAAAGTCGATACGTTTTGGGATATATTAGACTCGAAAGTTTGAGTTAAGTTGGGAAGGTGGAGTGTTTAACTTTGCTTCCTCTTTTTCAAACAATGCTATTTCGAGATACTCCTGTTCTTCTCTAAGGTTTTGTAGCAAAAAGTCTTTTCAGCAGAGTTTACTTCATTGCTCTCCGGTTCAGACTTTCAGCAATTAAAGGGATAGTATTAATTTGTTAAATCAGATAAACATTGAATTCAGTGAATCTCTCTGTTACATCTTCTTAAAATCATTGTTAGTATTGGTTTTGAAATTTCAAGGTGTTTCCTTGTTGGTTGCTCTATGACTAAAGAATTGCGTTTGTTATAATCTCAGAATTCCAGTGAATTTCTCTTGGGGTCATTCGTCCTAATTTTGCTCTATGCTTATACTTGTTCTAAAAATTATTCATGATGGCCCAATGCCTCAAAGTTCTTAACACAATGCTGACACTCTGGTTCTGATGTGAATCTGCAGCGATTTCAACAGTTGTATCAATTGCTGAAATTCTAAAGAATAATGGGCTGGCCACTGAAAAAAGTGAGTTTTCACATTAGATGCAAATTTACTTCAGTATTTACTACTATATGTTCAAAGTTTATGATATTGACATGCATATTGATATCAATGTCGTCAAAGGTGCACTTAAAGAGCGCTTAAGCCCCAAAGCAAGGTGCAGAATGTTGGACACTTCTTAGTGGGTATTTCAGTATTGTCATAAAGGCTTTAAGGCATACTTTTTCTTGAAAATGAGCATGATTCTGAAGACGCATAATAAGCAATTAATATTTCATTTTATTGTAAAAGAAAATTCATTTTCTTTGTCCAAGTATTTTTGTTCCTGCGTATAATTGTATTTTTGTATTTCTTTATCCATTTTCACCTTTCTTCATTAAAGCCCACACTTTATTTGTGCTTTGCGCTTAAAGCCCCAACTGACCTGAGTGCTCTTTTGATTACACCGATTGATATCCGTTCTTTGAAACATAAATGCAGAAATCATGACTTCTACGGTTGATGTAAAGGAAGACATGAGGGGAAGACCTGTTCAGAAAGACAAGGTATGTGTTTGCACATGTGTGGGGATGTTTTATTTTGGTTGTGCATTGTGAAATCAATTATGTTTCGTCTCTGTGGGTGTGTCTGTCAACGGGGTATATTCTGTTTAGATTATTTGTTAAGTTCAATTATGTTTGGCTTTTAGGGAAAAAGTGATTCATCCCATACCAAAATTTTGCCTTGATTGTTATCTTTCCCTTAGTAGAACAGAGAGTAGCATCATATAGTCGTTACAAATAATCCATCTTCGAACATTAGCAAATGCCTATTCCATCTAACTTAAATTCTTCAATGTTCTACAATGAATACAATAAGAATGTTCATGGCTATCGGTGTTGCAACTTATTTCTTCCTCTTGTTGAAATATGTTAACATGGTGGATGCTTATTTTTTAGATTGAAATCGTACTGGGTAAGACGGTGAACTTTGATGAGTTGATGCTCGCTGGGTTAAAGGATGGGAACAATATTCAGGAACAGAGTTGAATAAATAAATTGTAGTTAATTTTCTCGGATTTTGCCCGTTGTGGTTTAGAAGTAAATTTACTTCGCTTTTTTCTTCCCCTATATTATCCTTTTTTGTATTCTATAGGTTTTCTTTGTCCAAAGTTCTTCCCTCCCTCTCTTTTTGCCTCCAAGACACAATTACCCTTTTTTCTTTTGTTTTTTTTGTCTAAACTGAATTTTACATTATCTATTTCGAGTCGTTACACCAGTTCAAAATTTCCTGTTAAGTTTTACATGTTCAATGTTAAACTGTGTTGGAAAAGAAAGTAGCTCTATGTTCCTGCTGCTCCACTTGTGTATATTTCAATTGTATGTAATACTTTGACGCTGATAATATGGATGTGTACCTTTTGGAGTAGTAGTAACCAATTTGGAATAGTTCCAGAGATGATCCAAATGTTATTTCTCTCTTATTTTGGATGTCCCCTAAAACTATCAAGTCTTTCACTGCACTCTTTTAGGATTTTTCTGTAAGAAAATTCTGCAAGTTTCTCCAGTCATGACTCCAATAACGACTCACCAGAAGAAACACAATTTATGGCAGCATGTTTAGAAGTCTACATGTAGGATGAATTAACTTTTGGGCTTCCAAGGATGAGTGGCTTTAACAGATTTATAAAGCAAACCTATAACCTGTCGAAAGAATCATTCAGAAGGAAAATACTCAGATTGTAAACAAGCCTATGTAAAGGGTAGCATATCGCCTTTTTCAACTAGGTAAATGGAGAAAAAAAAAAAATACTACTAAAATGAGTATTACAGTTTACAACTATACAAGATCATAGTAAACTAACAATTATGCAGTAAAATCCGAAAGACACTGACAACCCTGTGGACTTGGCATATATTGAGCTGCTAGAGCCTCAACAACTTTGCCTAAACGTATACAACATACCCAATGTGATCCCATAAGTGGGGTAGGGGAAGCTTTGCCTAAACATAGAGACTACTAATCTCTCTCAGAAATCGGTTGGAGGTTTCAACCTAACAAGTCTCTTGATTCTATCTTTGTCAATGTTCTCCAGCAAACCCTTCATAATAAAAAAAAGTAGGAAAATCATCAGCAAGGCTGCACCAAATGAAAGATAGCAAAACTTACAGAGAGGATCAAATGGAAGTGCCTAGAGAGTTTTACATTCAAAACAATATCTAACCGCTGCTCTGTCATCTGGGACTAAAAAGGATCATCAATCTAAAAATCTATTCAAGTAAAAATTACAGAGCATGTTTTTTCAAGTAAATTTAGCACCAGGATAACGATGTTACAGTAATGTTTACCAATCTAAACTGTGCATGTCATCTATCAACTCAAAGAAAAAGTGATTTCCCACAACATTGGTAGTATTTGATAACTAAAAAGGTTTTCTTAGCACTATATGGTCCTCCTACTAGCTTCATGCCACATTACACGAGGAAATGAGAGCTCCACGTAATATAAATTTTTGCTGTTCAGAAATAAAGACAATTCCCCTTACCGTCCACACAATCTCATCCAGGCACAAGCAAATCTTTCCTTACTTGTCCAGGAAAAGTCTCTCTGTTGGAGGTTTCCCACAAACATCCTTGAGAGCAGATGTTATAACAAAGATTGCTTCAGACACTGCAAACAAAGCCCAGAAGATGAGAGG